CCCAATTTCCACTCTACGTGGCAACCCCCACATATTTCCCACAGAGGTGGCCTGAGAGAGACGTTTGCCATCCATGTTCCCACTCCCTCTTTCCCACTATCTGGTGGGAACTATCTGCTTTCAAAGTGGGAGCAGCAGCTCCCCGTGGGAGCATCTCCTGAAGCCCTGGTTACCGGCGCCGCCCTCGCAAGGCAGCACCAGCAGCAGGGTCCCTTCCCCACCACCCACAGTGCTCACACCCTCCTACTCACCAGGGAGGAAGAGGCTGGTCTCAGCAACCCATCCAACCCCAGCATCGCCGCAGGAACTGGTGGTTACCGCAGCCGTGGGTCCCGCCTGGGGTCAAGGCCTGCCTGATCGCAGGAAACCGCTGGAGGATTCTAGCAAAGGGTCAGGATCAGAGCAGAGCCTCTGGGCACACTCTCTTGCTACGCATTTCTTCTCCTCACTATGGAAAGATAAAAAACCCCAACAACCACCACACCACAGTATCTGAGTCCGCAGAGCTCTCATACCATGAATTTCTGAATCAGTGATTGCTGCAGGTCCCTGCACAGGGGATTTTGGGTGTGTGGGAGAAGAGGGGAAGGAAGGGGATTGTTCAACCTGTGTGTGACTCATATTCTTCAGAAGCTGAAAAGAGCCTTTTCAGGGAGATTTTCCAGCCACTCATGTCCTCCAGAGGGGCTGCCCTGGGGCCCCAGGCCTGAGGTTTTCCCCAGCTGGCTTGCCCCTGAGCCCAGCTGAGCTCTGGCAGCCCCAGCCCAGCCTGCATGTGGGATTTTAGCCTAGGATGTGAGGTCCAAGGGACCTGCAGGTACAGCAGGGTTGCAAGGATGGTGAAAGTGGAGATCCAGCACTGTGAAGTGAGACCTTCCTCCTGCCATTCTGCATGGGCTTCCAAAAGTCTGGAAGCATGGACACAAGCCCCCACTGGCCTTTGGGAAGCAGCACATGCCATCTGCCATCAGGGTCTTGGCAGACATCCCACCTGGGTAGCCTCAGCCTGCCACCACCAGCCAAGCACCTCATCTGCTGGCACAGGCTTCCCAGAGAGGTGAAGGAGAAGATAAACATCCTTTCTCACTGTGCTGGGAACAACCCCCTCAAGCCCTACCTGCTAAGCCTGGCTAGGGGGGCCCAGGCCCAAAGACACAGGAGGACAAACTGTGTCCCTTATGTCCTTGAACAGAACAGCTCCCCTCCCTCAGTGCCATCAGCCCCATCCCTTCCACAGGGGTTTTCACAGCTCGCTCATTACTGCCCAGAACACTTCCACTTGTTGCAGCAAACAGCATGACTAAGGAACATCATGGGGTTGTGCCTGTGCCTCCCCAGCCTGCGCAGCTCTGGCTCCCTCGGGAGGTTGCTGGCCAAATGCCTGCACACTTGTGCAGTGCGCGTTGGAGGAAGCCCACCTTGCTCACTGAGCAGAGCTGGGGTGATGCTGCCTGCTTCTTGTTAAGAGCAACCTCAGGCAACCTCAGACCTGCTCTTGAGGTAAGTCCTGCCATCCTGCTCAGAGCAGCTGTGCCCTTCAGACCCCCAGGACCTCGGGTTTCCCCTAGGAATACAGCACACTTGGCTTTTATCTCCCACACATCCCATCTTCCCCTTCTGTCACTAGTAGCATCCTCTGCTCTGTGGTACACAGTGTATCTGGCCTGGACTTGGGGCTTGTGCAGCCCCACTGTGTTGAGCTAATTCTTCCCTATCCTCAGAACTTCTAGGGCTCAAAAAGATTCTCCAGGCATTGACTGGAATGTAGGGGGAAAAAGCAGCAACCTGACTGCAATGCACTGCCCAGAGCAGCACCAGCTCCCTGCTCCAGAGTGCAGCACTGCCACAGCACCCTTGCCGGATGGGGCAGCTTCCCTGTGCAAGCCAGACTGCTTTAATTAAGGGCCAGGCACTAGCAAGCAGTGCCAGTTAAAGCCATTCTTCCCTGCCTGCAGCTCCTCGAACGTGACCTAGTAATGCAGGTGCTATTTTCTTTCCTCCCATGACAGCCAGCTGACTTGCAGAGCTGATGCCCTGGGGGTGAGAGGGAAACTTCAGTCTGTCTGTCTGTGGTGGGAGTGTTTAACAGCCATAGGAAAGGCTGCTGCAGAAATGCAACTGAAGGCATGAGCACAGCTCTGCTCCAAACTGCCCTGGTGTACAGCTGACATATTCCAGCCACCCAGTTGGCTGCTTATTCCCTGCGTGTTTTGATTCCCTTGAGGCCTGATAATGCCTGGAAGAGGGCCCTAAATACCTGACCTTGCTTTCTGCACAAATCTTGTGCTCTGCTCCATCCCAGGAGTCCCAAGAGCTACTAACAAGGATCTGGCAAGAGGCTGCTGAGTCCCTCTTACACAGTGTTCACATGGCCTTAGTTCTAAGGCCCTGGAAACAGAGTCATTGACCTGCAAGAGCAGCAGAGAGAAATCCTCTCTCCCTAAAAGCCAAGCCTTTCCCTTCCTGACAGCCTGCCCTCTCACACTGAAGTAATTCTTATCTTTCTGCATAAAATGCCTTTACTGCTATTGAGGCTATCAAGCTGGTTTTGGCAAACCCCAACCACCCATTAATCTTCTGGTTTTCTCCTCTAGGGCCTATAAATCAGCTGCTTTGCTGTTGTGTTAGGAACCATTGGCTCCAAATATCTGTGCCCTCAGAAAAACCCTCTCAATGCCAACCAGGAGTTTGCTGTCTCTCCCTCTCCCTGGCTTCCACTCTGCCTGCGGTATCACTACAATGCTGGTTTTCACAGCTCCCTTTGGGATAAAGCTCCCTGAGCCTAAGGGTGCTAATCACTAAGCCCTAATCACTGCAGAGGCAGGGATCACTGCAGATGGAGGGAGAGCTGCAGGACGGGGCAGTATTCACCAGCAACACGGAAACAGGAAAATAAGCAGCTTCCCTGCTGGCAGTGAAATGGGTGTCAGCACTACCGCTGGGACATGCTTTCTCCTCCCCATGGCAAGACAGAAAATCTCTCTCCAGCCTGCATGTCCCAAACATTTCCCTCAGCCAGCTGAGAGGCAGCCGGGGACCGTTGGCCACGGCGAGCAGGAGCTGCCGAGGCCTGGCTACTGCAGACCCTTCAGAGGGATGACCAGCTCTGGCACTGAAACCTCTCGACCAGCTAGCTCAGCTCCCCTTCAACCGGGAATCCGGATACATCTGCCCCCATCGCGCCGGTGTGCACGGGGTGAGAGCCGAGGGGCCGAGCCCAGGCAGAGCGCAGGAGGCTGCTCCGCACGACGGGCTGCCCAGGGCGCATCCCCCGGGCCGGGGCTGGGCACACACAGGTGCTGAGACGCTCTCCCCGCTGATGCAGGCAG